GTGGAAAGCTATCACAAATGAGCTTTCATTTACCACAAATTAAGTATGTTCACATTGGCAGTTAACACAGAGCAGGAGATGCACAGTAAGACCCTGTTCTTTTTGTCTTGCAGTTACCTTTCTAAGTGCTCCTACCCTAAAAAGATTACAAATGACTCATTTTAATCACCTTACAAATGAGGAAAGTAAATGGGGAGAGAGAACAGCAAAGGCTGGCGAACCTTCATAAGTGAAGCAATGACATACACCAATACTCACCCGTCATTGGAACAAGTCAAAAATTCTTCCTTTATTTTGGGATGCCAACAGCCTGTATTAAGCATTGCTGTATGACCCTAGAAAAATAAACACAGAGACGATAATCAAAATCTCAGGGAGGAGATAAAAAAAAAAAAATTAAGAGTAGACATTTCACTCCATCTTCCTATTTTCAGGATCCCAGTCTAGAAATACCTTGCACTATGAAGTATAATCATTTCCAACTGCCAAATATTTCATCAGAAAACAGATGTCTTGTAACAGCCCTTCAAACAATAATGGGCTATAGATAAGGAACTATACTTCAGGTGTGAAATAGGCATTTTCAATTAACAACTGAATTTTCAGTTTCAAAGTAACATCTTAAACACTGTTGTGAGCTTTAGGAAAGGATGACAAAAACAAAAGAAAAAAGCTTACTGAAGGTAAGGGGGAATGGGTGGGGAATGGCATGAATTCATAAAGCTTGGAAATGCCACTCTAGATGAACAACCTTTTCCTTGTGATTTATACCTAGTTGCTTTTAAATGAAAACTAGAATTCAATTAAAATGCAGAAAACAGCATTTTAACTTTTTATTAAACTACATTAAATGGGTTAGGCACTGGAGGTGAAACTTGTCATAATATATTTTGCTTTTAAAACTGATTTGTTAAACAAAGACAGTAACATTTGTAATAAATGAATTAAACTGACTGATTCTGGTCACGGTGTCCTTCATGTTCTTAAAACTAGTAGATTTCAGGCTCACATCTGCTTTTTATTCACTGACTGGAAGTGAAAAACAAAAATATATATATTTGGATTTTCAAAATGTTTTTGACAAGGTCCCTCACCCAAAGGCTTTTAAAATACTGAGATGCCATGGGATTGAAGGAAAGGTTCTTTGGTGGACTGAGAACTGATTAAAGATAGGAAGCAAAAGGGTGGGGCTAAATGGTACCTATTCAGGATGGAGGGAGGTCAAAAGCATGGTCCCACAGACATTTGTGCTAGGCCCAGTTTTGTTCAATATTTTCATGAATGACCTGGAAATGGAAATGGGGTTGCACAGTGAAATCTTGAAGTATGCAGATGATACTGAATTTATTCCACGTAATCTAATCCCAAAGTGACAGAAAAGAGCTGCAGAAAGATCTCACAAAGCTAAATGAATGGGCAAAAAAATTGCAGATGAACTTCAATGTTGACAAGTCCTTTCCTTTTTCATGTCCTAGTGACAAGCTATTTAGCAGAATTCACAGAATTATTAGAATCTGACAGGGCTGCACTGTGAATGCTTCTGCTACCCATTGAGCTCTCAGCCGTGTGCCTATATATTTTAGTTGGTTTAATAAAAGATATCACATCTACCCAAAGAACCTTGCCTGCCTATATCCTTAGCCATCCCAGCCCCCCTAGTGACAAGTGGAAGGTAGTGCACACTGGGAAAAATAACCTCCATTATACGTACACAGTGCTGTATTCTGAACTAGCTGTTATGACACGGGAAAGAGACCTTGGAGACACTGCAGACAGTTCTCTAAACCAGTGTTTCTCAACCAGTGGGACACGAAGGCCATCTAGGTGGGATGTGGAGAAGTGGCGGGGTTGCTGCTGGCACTTCTGCTGCCATGTGCTGCTGGCACTTCCAGGTTTGCTCGTGGACCAGCTACCAGGGGACCCCTCCCCATCCCCTCCGCCCCCACTCATTGTTTATTATGTTGGGCCCAGAGTTTTGGGGACCAATGGTTGGTGGGACGTAATGTGGAAAAGGTTGAGAATTGCTGCTCTAAACCATCAGCTCAAAGTGCAGTAGTGACCAAAGAAGCTAATAAAATGTTGGGCATCATTAAGAAAGGAATTGAAAACAAAATAGAAAATATAATCATACCACCGTACAAATCCATGGTACACCCACATCCTGAATACTGTGTGCAGTTCTGGTCTCTGCATCTCAAAAAGGATGTAGTAGAAATAGAAAAGGTATAGAAAAGGGCAATCAAGATGATTAGGGGTTCACAGCAGCCAGTATTCCAAGAGAGAGTAAAAATGCTAGGATTTTTCAGTTTGGAAAGGAGAGGGCTTAGGAGGAATATGATACAGATCTACAAAATCATGAAGACTGTAAACAAAGCAAATTGGGAATACTAAAAGTAGGGGGCACCTGCTGAAATTAGCAGGAGACCGGTTTAAAACTAATAAGAGAAAGTATTTTTTAATGCAGAGCCTAGCTAAGTTGTGGAATGTGTTACCACTGGAGGTTCTAGAGGTAGATAGTATAGCCAAATTCAAAAAAGGACTAGACAAATTCAGATGATAGCTCCATTAACAGCTATGAAACTGAACAGTCAGTGGTGCATCCTCTGGCACCTCAAACCAATGAAGGTGGATGCCAGGAAAGATATGACAGGCTAGATCACTTTAAATATGCTCAGTTCATATGTTCTCCCTCTAAAGTAGTGGTGCTCTACTTTTTGGCTTGGCAGTCTGGATGAATGACATGGGGCCAGTCTGCACACTGGATCAGACCTGGCACGCTGGGATCGGGGCCCAGCACTGCCTCCACCTGACTCTCTGCACCGAGATTGGGGTCAGACTGCCTCCAGCCAGCTCCACACACTAGGATTGGGCTTCTTTACCTCTACCTGGCCCTATGCATGGGGATTTGGTGCACTCTGTTTGCCTGGTCCCACACACCAGGATTGGGCTCTGCACTGTTTCCGCTGGGCCCTGCGTGCCCAATCCGCCATGCAGGGCCACATTATCTGACTCCTGAGGCTCCTCATGTCAGGAAATTTGGGAACTGGTAGTAACAACTGCTGCCACTGCTCCCCTGTTGCCAAATTTTCAGACACAGGGGGCATTTGTACACGTGCGTGCGCTGCAGTGCCAGGTACTTTTAAAAGCGCCTGGCACTGTGGCACATACATTTGTATAAATGGTGAAATCCACGTCAGTGCTGAGAAAATGGCGGCAGCATGCTTTTCAACTAGAAAGGTGTTTTAGTTCAAAAGCATACCGCTACCACTTTCTGCACACTGATGTGTGTTTTGATGTTTATAGAAATGTATGTGATTCAGCGCCGAGCACGTCAACATGTGTACTTGTAGACTTGATTAATCGACTCTGCTCCGATGTGCTGGATATCCAGTATATTGGAGCAGACAATGATATGTGTATAAATACCCAGGGGGGACCTCATAGGCCAGATGACATGGCTCTGAGGACCAGCTGGCTGGGTGTTGAAACCCCTGATCTAACGCATCCACTTCTGCCACAGCTGGAGATGGAATACTGGGCAAGACAGATCATTAGTATGACTTAGTATGGCACTTCTTATACTTTTACATTCTTAAGTTAAGAGCAGGAAATGTGCTAACACAATACCAGTACAGGGGAGGATCAGAGATGAATCATAGAATCATTGAAAATTAGGCTTGGAAGGGACCTCAGGAGGTCATCTAGTCCAACACCCTGCTCAAAGCAGGACCGTCCCCCAACTAGATCATCCCAGCCAAAGCTTTCCCTATCTGGCTCTTAAAAACCTCCACGGATGGAGATTTCACCACCTCTCTGGGTAACCTGGTTCCAGTGTTTTACTACCCTCCTAGGGAGATAATTCTTCCTACTATCTAACCTAAACTTCCCTTGCTGCAACTTGAGACTATTGCTCTTCCTCCTTCTTCATCCACCACCACTGAGAACAGTCTAGCTCCATCCTCTTTCAAACCCCCCTTTATGTAGATGAAAGCTGCTATTAAATTTCCTCTCAGTCTTCTCTTCTCTAGACTAAATAAGGCCAGTTCCCTCAGCTGTCCTCAGAAGTCATATGCCCCAGCCCCTGAACCAATTTGTTCTCCTCTGTTGGACTATTTCCAATTTGTCCACATTCTTTCTGTAGTTGAGATGCAATGAAGTGCACTTGCTGATTATAGTGAGGGTCTGGTTTAAATCACAGGCCCAGTTTGCTAATATTGTGGCATGATCATGGTGGGGGCAGCCATTTTCATGTCCAGATTGTGGTGTCCCATCCCCCCCACAACCCCCCGATTGGCTGAGGGGACAGGTTGAGGCCAGGTTTAATTGCAGCTCCCATGGTCACTGGTTACTGCTGAAAAGATCATGGGGAAGGTGTCACTAAAGGGACAAGTGAAGGAGAGAGCTTGGGGATGGGTTCTGTTGGCTGGAGAACGTCTGCAGCCGCCATTGTGCTGCAACAAAATGCTGCAATATGGCCGTTTGCTGGGGCCAAGTGACTATATCATGGCATTTGGCTACAAATTGTACTTTTCATGAAAATCACTTAATATTGTGATTTTCACAAAAAATGCACAATAGCTATTTAAACCAGGCCCTAATTATAGTATAACCAGGAACCAACAGAATTACGTGGGCCAAGAAAAAGGCAAATATGATTCTAAGAGCTGCAGGGCAAGATATTTCCACTAGAGATGGGAAAATTAAGTACTGCTGAACTCCCATTTTGACTACAGCATTTAATTTTGGGCATCCATGTTTAAAATTAGTAGTGCTCAACCTCTGGAGGGGGAACAGTGGCAGCAGTAACTGCCACCACTTCCAAAGTCAATTGCTGTGGCTGGATCCAGCTAATGGGGCTGGGCTAGTGTGCAGGGTTGCTACAAGGCTGGATCCAATATGGGCATCCCAGAAGGTTGAGCACCATTGTTTAAAGATTAATTCAAACTGGAAGAGGTCCAGACAAGGGATATTAGGATGATCAGAGGAATGGAGAGCATACATACATGAGACTAGCAAAATGAAGGCTGACAGAGAATATGACAGCTGTCTATAAATATATCAGAGAAAAAACAAAACAATGTTGACAAGAAAAAATGGCTATAAAACTAGCAATGAATAAACTTAGGCTAGAAATTATGAGATTCTGAGCCCCACTCTCTTAAGGACTATGAAACAGAAAAAAAAATTCCAATAAGACCACAGGGAACAAAGTGACTACTTTTAAGATGCATCTTGAGAAGTTTTTAAAAGGAGACTATACAGTGCTGTTGTTTGCAGCAACAGCGGCTAGATTTCATGAGTCTTCAAGCCCCTTTGTATCCTGTATCCTCTGTTCTTATATAATGGTCATACTGATAAGTTACACTGTGCCTACAGTTATGCAGACATTATGAGGCAGTCCTTCTCTATGTGCACTTTTAACAAAGAGAAATGTCCAGTATTATGTAAGCTTCATTCAGATGCTTTGTATTCAAATCCCAAATACCAAAAAAATAGGGTATTCTGTTTAAGATTATTCTTCCTGTGCTGCCAGTGTATAACTCCCATTCAAAATTACTGAGCACCAACAGTAACTTTCACCATGCATTTTATACATACACTACAATTCCTTCTTGTCCACTGCACTCTCAGGCTGTTTTCCTCAAACACCTATTAGTCAGTCAATTTTTATTAAGATATGTCATCTGCTTCTCTTTTCTCATTGGTTTATACTTTTAATTATTTTGCCATTCCTTTTCCATTTTTTTTTCTTTTGCAAATTGGTAGAAATCACCATTGCCAACTAAAGACTTCAGTTTTTTAGTACTGCTAAACACGGATGGATGGAAACATTTATAGTGACAAAGGTGCTAAATCATAAGCCTTTGGGATTTTCATACCTACAGATCCTTCACTAGAAACTGCCATAGCACAAAAGTGCCACCTTAAACTACATCAGCCCAGGTCCCTTCAAAGTTGGTTGTTAACAGACTACTCTTGCATCACCTTGGAGTTAATTTAGGAAGGGTTTTGAATAGTGTAACTAAAGCCTAGAAACAAATGTGAAATAAAATGAGAGATTTTGATTTTTGAAGTTAAAGCAGTGGTTCTCAAACTTTTTAGATTCAAGGCACACCTTGGAAATGCCAGGTCTTAGTTTTCACCTGGTTTTTAACTATGGAAAAGTAATAGACCACTTCTTTGTTGCAAAGAACTCAAAAAGATAACAACATGTCAGAATGGTTTTCACACACTGGATTCCTATTTGAAACTTTTGGGTTTATCTTGCGAATCACATTTGCTGTAATATCCTGGTTGAGAATCACTCATGAAAGTAGTCACAGCAATTTCTTCAATGCAGAAATATAAGCTGGTGGATACTGTACCAGAATGTAAGCTGATATAAGGGCTGTCCAACTTGTTGCACCATATGGGTGCTCTCCCACTGCACCATACCGTGCTGTACAAGAGGCCCCTGACCCCCTGAGACATGGGTTCAATTGGACCCATAGGCCGTGCCACCATGCCTGACCCGCAGGGGTAGGGGTAAGAAGCAGAAGCTGGAGGAGACCCTGGTAGCAGATCAGTGTGGGAAGCGCTGCCTGGTCAGGACTGCTTATGCTGCAAATTAACCCAGGTAGCCTGCAAGCTGTGAGCTGGGACAGCTCTGTTTTAAAGCAATTAACAAGATAAATGAAAAAAGAAAAAGCCTCTTAAGAATATGGCCTCTACCCAGTTCCCTTGTACATTAAGTACATACTTAATGTAAGGATACATGCCTACAAAGAGAAAGAATGACTTCCACGATACTGCATAAAAAGCACACCTGCAAAACTAACATAGAATAGTTTCATTTTAAACATAAAATTACAAATGAAGTTGAAAAAATACATTAAAGATAGCAGGCAATGTGCACCAAAAAGGTAAAATGGCAGCATAACAGCATACAGCATTTTGATTATAGGACCATATTATAATAAAATTTCAAAAGTTAACAACAACAAAAAATTTGAACAAGAACTAAAAGAACAGTTATTCTTAGATGGCTTTATATATATATAATATATATTTCACTAGCCAAAAGAAATAGTGATCTGACAAGAACAGCATCAAGTAATGCAGTATTTTGGCTAGCTACTTGGCAGTAAGCTTTGTAAGTACTAAATAAAGCAACTTTATCAAAGATCTGAGCTTTAGAATTTTTCGTATATTTGGATTATAAATTTTGAACTATTTATAAAATGGATGTAATTTAAATTATTTATGTAAACAGAAGCCTTATCACATGTAAGATGTTGAGAAGAGAGAGGACAGATTGGCTAAACTGCTGGGATAGAGTTCAACAAGCTTTTGAATGCAAGACATTTTTCCTCACGTCAGTACAGCTGTCTTTCTAATAGACAGGTTTTCATTCTATCCCCCACATAAAGCTAGAAAATAAAAATAGCTATCCTGAAAAGGTTATGAGCTAGCCCTTCACTATACGCACTTTTAACCAGTAACAAAGAAAAATGCATATTGTTCATTCAGTGTTTGACAGTCAAGTGACAAAGAGTAAGACAAGATGTCCGTGGTATCTGAACAGGAAGAGACCAAAAGTGGGTCTGAAGAGTAGGTAAAGGGAGAGGAAACCTTATAGTCAGACATAGTAGACCCTAGCTCAGGGGTCAGCAACGTTTTTGGGCAGAGTGCCAAAAACACCTAAGACCTTGACTTGTAAGATGTTGGTGTGCCAAGGGTGGATGGTGAGGGAGCCACAAGGGGCCTAATCCTTGTTGTGGCAGTGCAGTTCTGGCCCCTTCCCCACCAACCACCCAAGGCACACGTGCCAAACAAAATGCCTTTGAGTGCCACGCTCTTAAACCTGTGCCAAGGGTTGCCGACCCCTGCCATAGCTCCTCTTTGTATCACAAGGGAATGGAGCTTTGAGACAGGACTTCTCTGGCTCCTACTGCCAGCTAAGGGATAGGAAAGAAAAGAAGTCAGATGGTTCTTGCATCCTACCCCTCAACTTTAAGTGTTTCTGGGTATATGGCGATAACCTTGCTCCAACAGCTGTCCTGACTCCACCCTTATAATTGAAGTATATTTGTTTGTATTTCCAGGACGCAGGTGTCTGAGCAATTACCTGTTTTGTTGAACAGAAAGGAGTTTCCTTCCTACTGAGTTGAAGTGATGGGGTCAACATTTTTTCCCTTCCTTAAAGCATTGCTGATACGGTTACGTTAAAAAGAGTACAAAGAGAAACGCTAACATTAAGAGGTAACCTAGAAATGTTTAAGTCATAACAACTTGTGATTGGTGACTACTTTGGGTAAGGACTAAACAGTGCCAGCCCCTGGAGTTATATAGGACATTCAGCTTCCCCTTTTGCCTTTAAGAGGAAGAAGAGACCTGGAGTCTTTGTGGACTGAGATCCCCCTGGGGCAAGAGTATTCAGAAATGCACAGGCGCTTCCCTGAGTTATTGGTTATAATGGTACATGCCGTTCAGTACTTGCTCTGGGCCCAGTTCAATGCTTGGTGTACAAAGTTAAGCTAAGCAAGTTGCAGCCCATCCCCTTGTATTTCATTTGTCATTTATGTCCTGATTCATCTCACATAAATAGCTTCTAATCTAAAGGAAAACAAGCGTGACTCACAGGAAGGAGCAACATGACATGTAATGGTCTTTCCCCGATTTAATTAA